CCATGTAGCCTGTTTCTGGGACTCTTCTGACCTTACTTTTACATTTATTCCAGAAGGTTCCACTATGTTCTCAGCCTCTTTTTGCAACCCAATCTTCATATAGCCCAGCATGGCTTTCCTTTCCACAGCCCTATGTACAGTTCCTTGACCTTTACAAGCTCAGTGCCCTTCCTCTCAGTCCTCTCAAGTTCAAAGCTGAGACTTTAGAATCTTCCAGAACTACCATACTTTATACCAGATTGTAACCCCAGGGTGCTTTCTCAGAATAGCACTGTAGTACCAGATCTTTTTTCTGAGTCACAGACCTCTTGTCTGCCAAAGGCACCTGAAACATCAATTTTACAAATGCTATATTCACTTACTCTGTTCCTGTGGTAGGCTATTCAGCATCCCTCAGGAGACTATCAAACAGCCAAGCAACTTGCCCCCTACACATTCATGGACAACTCCTGCAACACCTTCAGTAGTTCTTCTGTAGTTCTTCTGATGAAGCATGGACTGTCAGTCTGTGCAGGGCAAATGTGGACCTAATTTCCCTATTTGTTTGTACTCCTTTGGTGATCTCAACTAATCTCATGATTTTAAACACCATCTATGGGTAACAACCCTAACAATTTTAGCACAGACTTCCCTCTTAACCTCATTCTTCTGCTCACAGTTCCATGTTGATGAATTTTGGGCATATCAGATTTGATCTTGATCTTTTTTCTCAAACCAACGTCAAGTGTTGTCTTCCCCATGTCAATGAATAACATTCCATTTATTGCAATTATTGAGGTAAAAAATTTTTAATTCATCTTGTCATTGTTTATCTCTCATATTTTTCCTCCAATTCTGTTTTCCCTTTAAAAAATATAGCTAACAGTTCTTACCACCATTGTTTCAACAACCCAAGTTTAACCCATCATTCTATCTCCCATTGATTATTGCAATATCCTTACAGCAAGTCTTCATAGCACTTGTGGAAATACTACATGTTTTGCTTATTTGTTTCTTTCTGCTTCTTTCAACTAGAACATAGACTCCATGAGGGCAGGGATTTTTATTCATTATTTTATCACAAATCTCTGGAATAGCACTTAGCATTTTGTAGGCCTTTAATAAGGCCTTGCTGAGTACACAAATGTAAATGAAGACAATGTGTTGATGTGAGAGTTGGCTTTGGTAGAAGCATAGTATCAGGACTGGAAACCATGGAAAGAAGCAGATTCAGGTGGATGAGTAGGTGTGATTTTAGGGACTTGTAAGGTTCTTGTCTGATTTCTTCCATAATACAAGTTAAATGGGAAACAAAGTCATCAGTTCACAGTAAAAATGGGGAAGACGATTTTAGGGGTTTGAAGAAAGAGGAAAAGTCACGAAAGAGTTTTCTAGGGCAATAGAAACTAAATGGCTATGGAAGTATGACATGATTTGGGGGCAGAATTGAGGAGCCTGCTTGAGGCTCAGAGTTATGAATTTGACCTAAGACCAGCAAACGTGGTTGTGTGATTTTTTTTAGCTATGGTTACCTCCTGCTGAAGGAGTGCAATCTAAAGGGGTCTATCATCCAAAATGGGATAATGATGATGTAAAAGAGGGCATAACATTTGAGAAGTATCCGAGGCAGTCACTGTGATCAATTTATATTTTTGAGGCTGGTTAAGGAGACAAATATAAGCTGGGAGTACTTGTGCATACCTGTAATCCCAGTACTCAGGGAGGCTGAGGTAGGAAAATACCAAGTTTGAGTCTAGTCTGGGCAACTTAATGATGTAGCAACATTCTGTCTCAAAAAATTAAAAAATGGCTGTAGACTGTAGCTCAGTGAAAAGGCCCCCTATTTAGTATCTAATACCACCCCTCATACACACAAGACAAATGTAAGAAAACATAATGTTGGAAGAATCAAATAGAATTTATTCCTGGTCCAGTGAATGTTGGAATACCAGAGGAAATGGTATGGAGAAACAGAAAGTGGTGATCAGAGAATTAAAGAACTGAAATTATGAAGGGCTTTTCAGCTCTTGGTCTAAATAAGAGATGTGAAAGTAAGGAAGGCAAAACAATATTAGAAAAATTATCCTTTCGAGTATAATATTGGGTATTGTAGAAGCATAATATTAGAGCGAGTAATAGTGATCCAGAAACTAAATCTTCAAGAAAAGAAGGGTCTACTATGAGGATGGGCAGATGACTGCAATTGGGTGATATATGAATGGTGTAGGCTGATCACATGAGATTCAAAGCTGAAGGTGTGTAGGGAAGAAAGAATTGTCTGGAAGCAGCAAAGAGGAACAAGGACGACACCTATCAGGCCCAGAGTGCAGGAGTGCAGAGAATTTGCCACCACTGTGAGAGCTTCTTGCGAAACAGAAGCCTTTAAAGAGAATACGTTTTTGTTAGAATTAGAAAGGGAAAGAAAGATTTAGAGAAGAAATTAATGACATGAAAGATTTTATAATGGCTGAATGAATTCCAGAGAAGGTGCAGTGAAATGGTTAGAGCACGATATGGGATGGGAACCAAACTAGGAATGAGAGCAGTTAGGAGTAAGGGATGACTCAGAGCCTGGGTTCCTCTTGAGCATGGACTCGAACTGGGTTAAAGGGCAGGCTTATACGGACCTATGGTCTGCGGGGTCTGAGGAGAGAAAGGTGGCAGGCCATAGAGGAGTAGGGGAGGATCTTGCCAAGGCCTGGCATAGTTCTTCTGAGAAAGCATAAAGGTAGCAGCAGAGGGCTAATGCTTCCCTGACTGGAGGGGGTTGATTTTAGTATGAGAACTGATTATACCCAAGTCATTCCCATTCTTCTTTCACTCTTTCCACTTTCCCTACTTTACCACATTCATGAGCATTTTTATGTTTTTTTCCTCTAGTCTCAAAGGAGATTCTGTTTCTTGTTTCATTTCTTTAACTTACTTTGCTTTCTTTTTTCTTTGAAGATTTATTTCCTGGTTCAATGTTACTGTAATATTATATTTTTTTATAATACACAATATATATATTTTTTGGTACCAGGGATCGAACTTGGGACCTTGCACTTTCGAGGCCTGTGGCAGAACCACTGAGCTAAATCCCTGGCCCCTATAATACACAATATTATATCCCAAAGGGTAATTTTTTCAATATTCTGTTGCCTTTACCTCTATTCTTCTTTACTTTCACATCTCTAGTCTGGACCAGTAGCTGCAAAACCCTCCATAGTTTGTTCATTAATTCTGATCACCACTTCCTGTCTCTTCATACCATTCCCTCTAGTATTCCAGCCTTCCCTAGATCAGGAATAAACCCAATTTATCATACTTTATGATTTTGCTACTTTTTCTTTCTCTTCTGGTTGTTTCCTCATCTATAGATATGTTCAAATATACTCCATCATAATAATACCTACCAAGGTACTGTCTCGACTCTGTTTCTTTCTGTTTCAAACTCTGTCTTTACCTCCCATCCAAACTTCTTTAAAAAGGTCTACAGTGCCATCTTCTCTGTCTCCCTTCCCATAGATTTTCATTTTATGGCTATATTAATAAGGTTTCTGTGGCTGGGACAAAACACCCGATGTGCATAACTTAATGGAGAAAAGGATTATCTGGGTTCATGATTTTAGAATTTTCAGTCCATGGTCAGCTGGCTCCAAGGAAGGAGCATCATGGGGGAGGGCCTGGCAGAGGAAAGCTGCTCACCTAATGGCATCTAGGAAGCAGAGAAAACAAGTGAGAGCAGGACAAAGGAATGGGTGGAGGAAAAGGCCCCTGTGACTTACTGTCTTTAACTGAGCCCCAACTCCTCCCAGCTCATTCATCTATGAACTCATCAGTAAATTAATCCATTGATGCAGTCACTATTTTATGATCCAGTCATCTCTTTAGGTTCTACCTCAGAACACTACTGTAAATCTTTGTGGGGGGTACTTTATATTTAAATTATAAAGATAGCTTTTGGAATATCCTTAGCCTTCACTTGGACTTAAGCCTTAGTTTTTGCCTTTTATGGCTCTTCACTGGTTGGGTAGGCATCCTCATTATTGTTCTCTTAACATTCTTTTTTTGTGTAACAAAAGATGGTTTATTTGGAGAGAAAAAAATGGAAAAGAAAGAGGATAGACAGCTACCATGAGGGTATGGGGCTTCAGAGCTGCAAGCCCCTCTCTTAGCATTCTGTGAACTTTCCTTTTCTGCTTGTGAGTAGTCTACTGACAGTTTTCTATTCGCTGTTGGATGCCTTGCTCTCAAGGGTCTCCCACACAGCAAATACTTAGTAAAATTACTTACAAATGAATTAAGAATCAGTGAAAGAAAACGTATCTCTGTAAAAACAGGCATGGTATTCTGATAGATATACTTTCTATTTTAAATCCATACTTAAACTTTTTTTTGTTTTTGTGGTTCTAGGGATTGAAAACAGGACCTTTGTTCCGAGCTACATCCCCAATCCTTTTAAAATTTATTTTAAAAGTTTGAGACAGAGTCTCTCTAAGTTGCTAAATTGCCCAAGCTGGGCTTAAATTTGGAATCAATCCTCCTGCCTCAGCCTCCTAGACTTCTGGGATTATAGGCATATGACACTGTGTCCCACTCAACCTTCTTGATAATGACAAACGTTGGAATTTTCTTGCATGCTTGTTGATCACAAGTCACTGATTGAACCTATTAACCTAGGGGTAAATGGATAAAACACATTTGAAGCAGACCAGATGCTGTGTTTGCGATAAGCCTACTACAGTAGAGACGTCTTGTAAACGTTCAGCAGCTCAGCAGCCAACCTGCTGTTTATGACTGTCATCCCTTACAACAAGATCTTCCTGGAGCTGATAGCTCCTCTGGTAAATGCCATGATAAAAGCTGTTCGGATACACTATGGCTATTTTTATATCTGCTTTTTTGGCAGCCATACACATTATCATAGGACAGTAGGTAATTTATCAAAATACATGAGATAAATATCACGATATGTGGAGAATGGAGTCAGGATGGAGCTTCGATGAAGCTGAAGGTATAACTTATGACATGTCTCGTAGGTCTCTTCCGGTGACTCTGAAGCCAAACCTCTGATCTTCAGCTTTGTTCCTACTGTCAGAAGACTTCCAACCCACATTCAGTTGGCTGACACTTCCAAATATCTTGTTAAAATTCCTGAGGAACCAGGTGATAAGAGTCCAGAAACTGTAAATAGGGTAGGATTACTGTTATTCCTTTTTTATTTCAAAAATTATATTAAATTGTCCATAATAATGCCTTGGAAATTTGTATCAATGTTCATTTCCTATGCTTAAAGTGATATGACTATGAAATCTATGATTAATTAAAAATAAAATTTCATATATATAAAATTATATAATAGGAGCCTAAATGTTATCAAGTTCCAGGTTGTCTCTGAGTAATTATTCTCAACTCTTCTGAACGGACATCTTGTTGTTTGCTACTCACAGGACAATTTCTGTTTCCTAGCCCCTTACCTTAGTATATATTTTAGATAATAAAATTTTGTTGAGTGCTTAAATTAATCTTGAAAAAACAGATTATTTTACATGTAATATATTAGCAATATTTAAAAAGTAATACCCAGTGTTGGGACAATTGTAGAAATATTGACATGGCCAAGCATCATTGCTAGTTTTGTAAATTTGTAAAATTTGATGGAAAATTCTTATCCACAATCAAAAAACTGTTCATAATGTTTCCATAATCTAACTGTTGGAAATGTATCTCAAGGAAATAGCACAAAAGAAAGAAAATGTTAAGTATAAAAATAAGGAAAAAAAGAGCTTGATTTTTAACATTCAGAGAAAAATTAATCATATGCTGGTATATGACCTTGACAAGCGTATACTTACGATGATTATGAAATACAGTGGAAAATATCACTGTATGATACTACGTGATAGTGATAGAGCAGGCTCAACAACTGTATTAATTGAATCACTCTGATTATACTTGTGCAAAATTAGGCTAATCCGGGAATTAAAATTCAAACAAATAAATATCTGAAAATGATTGGTGTTAGAGCAATAAAATTTGGTGTAAATTTTTCTCTTCAAAGTATATTTTTAAACCATTTTATTTATTGTAATAATAAAGTGGGGCCAGGAGAACTTGAGCTATTCTTATCTAGGAAGTACTACTATACTACTGTATCTATGACCTTGGGGTTTTAATTCTGCTATCTTATTTCAAGGACAAATGAGACTAAATTATTTCACAGAAACCCTGAATACTAGTAAGGAGCTATGGGAAGTTTCTCCCTAATAGGACTCAACCACATACAGCATATTCACGGCATCTTCTGTTATTGTGCCCTTTGAAAGTGTGAGGCTGTAACTGTAAGATCCAATCTTGGTTGCAAACCTCCGAGTTTCCTAAGATGATAATATTCACCTGCTCATTGCAATGATATATCTACAATCACATCTTTAAAAGATTGAAGTTTTTTCCTACTTTTTAAACAGTTGAGCAATAGTAGAGCCAATATGATGGTGCAGGTCAGTAATCCCAGCACTAAGGAGGCTGAGGCAGGCAGATCACCATGAGTTTGAGGCCAGGCTGGGCTACACAGTGAGTTTAAGGCCAGACTGAACAACATAGTGAGATCATGTCACAAAAAACCAAAATCGAAAACAAAAACAAAAAATTAGACTTGGGTAAGTGAGCCCTCATTAACACAACAACCACAACAACAACTCAACATATATGCCATGTTCCTGGTGCTTGGAACCTAATGAATAAAGACAACTAATATGGCTTATTGTTATGGGGAAGGCAGTAACAAAAATAAAAAAGGAAACTAGCAAAATCTGAGGTGGTACTAAATGGTGTGGAAAAATATATTGGAGTAAAAGAATAGAGACAAATGAACAGAGAAAGCCTAACTGGAGCTGGTGTGTGTTTTTTCTTGACTACGTCAGCAGCAGCAGCTGAATTAAGTGGGATAGGGTAGCTGTATCTGTCATTTGACTTCACTCAACCTTCACACACACAACACAGACACACGTTAGCATACATTAAATTGACAATGATAGTTATTTAGTGGATTAGCTTTTTATTTTGAAATAAATTTAGCTTCATAGAAAAGATTCGGAGAAAACAAAATAGTAATCATGGAACCATTATCAAAACAAAGAAATCAATATTGAGTCTTTTAAATACAATCTCAGTGTACACAGTTTTTTTAGAAGAAGAAATGTGGTAGCTTGATAAAGCTATATTAGTTCTGGTCTTATAAGCCTTCATCACAGAAAATTGGATGGGAAAAATTGAGAATTACAAATTCAAAGTAAAATAACAGTTAAAATATTCTGTACTAAAATATCACATTTTTTAAATGTCTCATTATAAGTTCTTCCCATTAGTTTAGATTTTGTCTGAGTATCTATGCATTTTGTTCTGTTTTTTTCCTTTTGGACTTCTAGAGAGATTATATTATTTTAGAACCTTTCAATGAAATTTCTTTCCCTTGCCCTGGTTTTTAAAAGTATATATGGGTTACATGACCATTAACTAAATCCTTGACCCACCTCTATTCTCATTTCCCCATTTGTTTCATGAATGCCTTCACAGGAAATTTCTCTCTCTCTCTCTCTCTCTCTCTCTCTCTCTCTCTCTCTTTCTCCACACTCTCACTTCCTCTCTCTCATTATGATTCTGAGCTCCAAGTAGTTTGGGCTTGGGCCAGGACAAACAGGTGGGATAGGAAAACTAAACCATTGACTTCAGTCCAATCTCCTGTAGGCCAGCTTGATTTTTTAATGTATTTAAAACATGTTTTATAAGCAAGTTGAACTTTTCAGTGTATTCTAAGAAAGAAGAAGCATTTATCAAAACAGTGTCAATGATTTTATTTGTCTTTTTCTTCTGCAGTCTAAATCCATTGACTACATGACCTTTAACCTTGGGAGTGAACAAGGGAAAATCCAAGGATCTCCACTGACCTGTCTGTCAGAGGACTGTGAAAAGAATTCTCAAGGAGAACGATTTAAAGCTAATGACCTTCAAGGAATGCAGCAAGGTGACCTCTTCAAGGCTGAATATGTCTTTATCGTGGACTCTGAGGGGGAAGATGAAGTTACCAGCAGAAAAGGTGATCAAGGTGCCCCAGGGGGCACAGGCAAGCCAGTGGCCCGGCCCACGTCTCTAGTGATCTCCTCCAGTCTGGTCTCAGATGTGGTGCGTCCCAAAGTCTGGGGACCTGAGCTCAAGGCTGCATCTCATACTGCAATTCCTCAGGAGATGGTCTCCCAGCAGAAGCAGGAACAGGTAGGTTTTGTCTTTTACTCTCAAGAAAATACAATGAAGTCTTCACATCCTTTTGTCCTGGGCTGTTTGAAAGGCCTTACCATTCAAGCACACAGAATTCTCAAAGAAAAATGAATTAAAATCTCTAAATCCCAACAACACAGATTATCCCAGTATAAACACTGATGATAAATTATAAATTGACAAGACAAACGATTATGTGATTATACTGTGAATAGGCTGAAGAGAAAATACAACACATTTAGCCAGAGAGTGAATATTGCCTTTTCCTGTGGAACAATTCTTGGAGAAATTTTACGTTGGGAGTATTTTTAGGGAAAATTGAGTGTTGGTCAGTTGGGTACACCAAGAAGCACATTTTAGTTAAAAGATCCAGAAAGGAGACAACAAATGGCTATTAGAGGAGACAACAAATGGCTACACATTGTAGGTTAGGCAAAAATATCATAGTGGTCCTAGAAGCTATGAGAATGGAACTGAACTGGGAGAATATTCCACTCCAAGCTTAGCAGCAAGAATGAAAGCTTCCTTAGGCGAAGAACCCAAGGTGCAGTAGAAGACCCTTGCTATCTTGTGATAGCAGGAGAGAAAGGGGTTGACAGGAAAGGACTGTGACAAAAAAGTAGGATGACTTTGCCTTTAGCTGGCTATTAGAATGTGAGCTATAAGACATAATAAACATATGTTTAAGTCTGGTGAGGAGTGGCTCAGTGCACGGGTGACCTGGAGAGTACGCAGTGGATGTGTAGCTCTTCTGGACCATCGAGCAAGAACTGGTTCTGAGATGCCTGCTCAGCATCTGCCAGTTCAAGCCCTCACAAACATCCCAAAGAAGTTTGAAGGATATTGCATTGGTTAATTGGTCTCCTTGCATTACTTATGAGAGAGTAGCCGTTTTATTTTTGGTTTTCACTCCATATTTATTTCTAAAACCTTCACTGACTTCCCGATGTTGTATTTTTAGTATATTCAGAAATATCCAGCATCAAATGTTGCCTTTTGGTAATAAAAGTCTCTCTTTGCATTACCCTCCATCTAGGTCTACTAGTCTACAACATTCCTTCTTCCTAAAATTTAATGTTAGCATGGCATTAGAATAAGATACAATAATATAATTAAAGGTATTCTCAATAAGCTGTGATAGCCTGAAAGATTTCCTCTTTGCACCAGGAAAGAGCATGACATAATCAAGGTAGAGATGTGGAGATGTCTGGTGTCAGCGATGGCTTTGAGAAAAGTGACATTATGATGTCACCAAATATTAAGAAAAATATTCATAATAAAGAAATGTTGGAATGTTTAATTTACTCTTTTCTCCAATCTCTTCCCTTGAAATGGGCATTTGTTTTGGTTTTGTATGATCAAGTATAGAGAGGTCTGACTAGAATCTGAATATATGCTTTGGAATACATTTTCCAAAAAGCAATATTTGGGGGTGGATTATAGTTCACATTATTTAAGTTCATAATCAAGAGGCAAAGCTCAGCCTCACTCGTTAGCAGTGACCAAAAAATTATGACTACCAGTAAGAGAGGAATGCTGAAATGTTTGGGAACTGTCATTGTCGCTCTTTCTATTTTCTATAAAAATTCATTTGAGGGATGACTGTATGTCATAATGAAAGTAAAGTAAGATATACTTGTTACCCATAGGTGTGCGTGCACCAAGGAGAAATGAGTAGCACATCAAAGAAGGTAGAGTGGGAAGTTTAAAGTAGTCCAGAGTGAGAGTTTAATGTAAAAAGTCAACAACAAATTGCATGACTGAGCTTCTTGATATTAATAATAGCAATTTTTAGTCAGAAATGCAGTCAGTTAAATGAATTTGTGGTTTGCCTGGTTAAAAAAAAGAATCAGCACTGAATTGTCTATAAGTCAGCACTATATGTTAGTTGTAGGAGCCTATTTCTAAACAACGTCTTCTTAGTCTGGCCTTTATCTTTTACCTAGCCTTTCTAGCCACTGCTTGTACCACCTTTCTTCGGCTCTCTTACACAATCTTTGCAGTGCACACATGGTACAGTTCCATTCTGGAGCCCTTGATTTCCATGTAGGATGCCTTTTTTTCTTGGAACTAGAATCATTTTGTTCTCAACTACTTGATACCCTATGCTCAACTCAAGTTGGACCTCCTGTCAGGGATATCCCTTTTACCCTTTTATTTTTTTCATCAGTCCTTTTGTTTGTCTTCATGCCAATGCTGCAATTCCTTTTTTTTGTTCATTAAGTTTATTGGTACATTTTAGGTATACAATATGATGGTATTCATCATTTGGAATTTGTACCTTTACATGATGCATCTTGGTTCTTAGTTTTTCCTCATTCCCCTGCCCTCCCTTCAACCCTTCCACCCTTCCCTATTTACAAAGACTTTGTTTCCATTTTTTTCCTTTTCTCATATTTATTCCTTTCCCTTCTTTCCTTTCCCCTACCCCTCCCACTTCCCCTACCCCTTTAGACTTTTTCTTCCCATTTTGAATTATCTATTGTACATTTTGATCCTTATTTACACTTTCAGTTTCTCATACCAGAGAAACTATTTAGTATTTACACATGTGCATCCTATTTATTTCACTTAAGAGTATGGTCTTAATGTGCATCCATTTAGCTATAAATGTCTCTAGTTTCTCATTCTTTATGACAGGGCAGTACTCCATTTTATAAACAAATCACATCTTCTTTATCTGTCCCTTTTAAAGAGCAGATAGTGGTCCTCTTCCTCATTTTTTATCTTTATTATTTTGTAGCTTTAAAAACATCTCTGCTGCAATTCCTTTTCACCTTGTTGTAGTCATCAATTTCACATTTTTTTCTTTACCAGACTGAAAACAACTTGAGATCAATGATGGTCTCTTGCTCATTTCTATCCCTAACACTTAGTTCTGCACTTGGCACTAAATGAGGTTCCAGAAAGTGAGTGAAAAGCATCAGTATTCAGAAGTTCACACTCCACTCATCTCTGAGGTCCTTGCTGAAATGTTCACCTCTTCATAACATTGACTTTGGTTGCCTCCAAACAAAACAAATTCTCCCGCAGTATAATTCCAATAGCTTTTTATTATCTGACTGTGTAATTATCTCATTGCAGCAGGTATAGCTACTTACAGATACACCTTATTTCCCCTACCAGATTGTAAAGTCCTTAAAGGTAAAGTTCACACTAAATTCAATTTTTTTTTTTTTTTTTTTTGGTACTCGGGATCGAACTCGGGTCCTTGAGCTTGTGCAGCAGGTGGTGAAACCACTGAGCTAAATCCCTGGCCCTAAGTTCATTTTTATTAACTATTTTATCTCCTGGATAGATTAGTAATACAAATATTGTGGATTGAACTGTCCCAAATACATCCTTTAAGTGGCATGTTTAAGTAAAAGTACATTATATTAAAATGCATAAATCATGTTAATGTGTGAATTAAATGTACACATGTAATACAAAATAAGCAGTTAAATCAAAATCCTCTTAAGTAAAATTCAAAAGAAAGAGCTTTGAATGTTCATATAAAAGTGTAAGAATTATTTTTCCTATCAATACCATATTATTACAGTGTGAGAAGAGGTGAACAGAGACACTGATTTGTCCGAACAGCTGTGATCAAGCTGAGAGTTGTGGTGGTGACCATGAGAATAAGAGGAAAACCTGTGAGAAATGAATTAGTTCAACTTCTTTGTTTTTAATAAACAACGATAGCTGATCATAAAGAAAGCAAGCTCACAACCAAGGAAATCAGTGAATGTTGATATCCAGAGAGGAAGGAGTAACAGGTCTTAAGGGGAATCAGGAAGCCTTAAGCATCTGATATTGAATCGAAGAAGCACAGTGGCCCCGTGCGACAGATGCTTCCTAGAAAGGGCCGGAAGAATGAACTGGAATGCAGGAGAGAGGTGGAAGCTTGGAGGAATTTGCTGTATAAGCCAGGTGATGGGAGTGAAGATCATTACTCAGGGAAAGAATGCAGAAAAATGACATAAGATTTAAGCCAGGAAATAGAAAAATAAAAAGGACCTATGAAAAAGAAGAAGCCAGTGAAACAGATTGAAGAGGGAACCAAAGAATTTGGAATGGGGAAGTTTTGAACAGGATAAATATTCTTTATTTAAAGGGGTCAGATGCAGTGGTATATGCCTGAGATCAGTCACTTGAGAGGCTGAGGTGGCAGGATCACTGGAGCTTGGGTGATACAGTGAGAAACCCTATTTCCAAGATAGATAGATAGATAGATGATAGATAGATGAAAATTTTTTAAAAATCAAAGGACTTTGAATTAAAAGAAGAGTCTATATTGCAAATACAAAACAAGGTCAAATAAAATAGGGCCCCTCAAAGCCATTAATCTGAAAATACAGGGTTATTTGATGACCTTAGTGGAAATAACTTGGGTGCAGTTACAGGGACAGACATAAGGTTGAGAAGCAGATAGGAAGGGAGGACAGGGAGGTCATAGGATTAGATGCTCTGAAATAGGAAAGCAAAGATGACACAGAGAACTTACTGCCCATGCTCATCTGAGCAAGTTACTTGAAATCACGGACTTTATGTTCCTTTTCTGTAACAGGAGGTGACATTAGCTTTCTTTGAGAAGACTGGAATCATGTATGTCCAGGACCCAGAACACAGCCTGACCCCTGGTAGACTCTCCACAAATGACTCTAAGACTGTAGGAAGGCCAGTGTGTTTTGGGTGTGAAGTAAGAAATTTATGGAGAGGGAGAGGGTTTATATATTTGTTCAGCTGTAGCTTGGATCTGAGACCTGGGAAGAAGATATGGAAAATAAGATCAGAAGAACTGACTGGGGTCAAATAAAAGAAGTTCTTATATAAAAGTGTGGGTAATTTGGATATTAGTACAAATATTTATTAAATAGAGTCATGTGCTATGTAACAGTGTGTTTTTTTGGTCTGTGATAAGCTGTATATGTGATGTTGGTCCCAGCAAGATGATAATACCTAGTGGTATGGCAACTGTTTTAGTTTGGGTAGGTTTCTCTCACGTGTACACAACA